CAAATGGTGAACTACACTATGGACTCAATGATAGCGAAATGTCAAACAGACGTACTGTACACCGACTTTGAGAAGGCATTCGATCGAGTCAACCACAAGAGGCTTCTGCAAAAGCTGGCAAGATTCGGATTTGGGCGAAGACTTGTCAAATGGTTCCACACATATTTGACAGCCCGAACACAGTTTGTTGGAATCGGCAACAGAAAGTCAAGAACTTTCACCGTCTCGTCCGGTGTACCAGCTGGAAGTATCTTGGGACCTTGTCTCTTTATTGTTTTTATAAATGACATTGTCGACTTTGTTACTCATGCTTTTGTTTTGTTGTTCGCAGATGATTTAAAACTCATTTTGAGAATCACGTCACCGAATGATGCCCGCTTATTCCAAATGGCCATTGACCAATTGCACGAATGGTGTATGCTCAACAAGCTGTACCTTAATCTGGAGAAATGTTTCGTCATGACGTATGCTAAAAACATCACCGTACGAAGATATGAATACACGATAAACAATGGGCAGCACATGTTTGGTAGAGTTGAGCTACACAGAGACCTGGGGGTCATTTTTGACGTGAAACTCACATTCGCCAACCACATCGATACAACGGTAGCTAGCGCCTACGGAGCATTAGGTTTTATTAAGCGGACACTGAAACACAAGTTTACAATAGAATCAGCAAAACTGTTATACTGTGCCTTAGTTCGATCGAAATTGGAGTATGCTAGTGTAGTGTGGCATCCGTATCACCAGTCATACATTAACAAAATTGAATCAGTACAGAAAGACTTTGTAATCTGGGCACTTAGGGGAATTTACCAAAGAGATGCTAACTACAGATTGCCATCGTACCAATTAAGATGTGATAATTTGAATATTCAACCGCTTTGGAGGCGGCGTATAAATGCCTCAGTATTTTTAATTTATGATCTCTTATTAGGAAAGTTGATTAGCGCAGCACTGAGGGAAAAAATTGTATATACTAGACGAGTAGACAATAGGAACCAAAGAAATGTGAGAAACAGAGATCTAGTTAGAATTGAGACTTTTGGTACTGACTACGCCCGTAACCAACCGTTTATTTTAGCGTGTAGGTATTTCAACAAGTAAGACAAACGTTTTTAGACTCAGCATCGAGACAAATATTCATTAGAAATGTGGCAAATTTAGACAACAATGTATTTGAGGAACTATATGTTTAGAGGTGGTGAACACAATCGGTCGCCGCAGAACGCCACTTCGAAGTCATTAGGGCTGGTGGCTAGGTGATCCGATTCGGGGTGTGTCACTGCTTGTGTAAAATTATGGAATGTGTACAAATTGTATTATGCTATTCAGTCTGTGATTAGACGGTGAATAATAAATAAAATAAACGCAGAAAAGACAAAACACAGAAAAATGAAAAATTTGATTTTTGACTAAAATATTGGGTAAATGAGGGTTCTTTTCGGTTATTTTTCCAAAATAATGGCATTTTATCTTGGCCAAAACCTCGAATAGTGTATTTTTCTGGTACCTCACATACATTACATTTACACTAGCATTTATTTATTTATTTCACACTGCCAAAAACTGGCTGAATATTTTGGTTTGCAGGAAAACGACTCCAAGAGTCGTGAAAAACCTGATCTTTTTGTGTTTGTACAATATATGGTAATTTTACACAATAAATAGTTGTAATAGTCTTTCTCGATTGGTATAACAATTTGGTTTAAAAAGCATTGACACAAGATAACCTAACCAATACATGGAAATGCATAGGTAGCCGAAATGTAAACGGTCCAATATAGCCTAACGTGTAAAAAATGAAAAACCAACTGAAGCGTTAACACTGTAGTGACGGCCCTAATGACTGCAAAAGT